GTGTGTGAGTGTGTGTGAGTGTGAGTAAGTGTGTATGTGTTTGTGTGTGTAAGAGAGAAGAAAGAGAGACAGAGACAGAGGCAGAGACAGAGACAGAGAGACCGAAAGCAAGAAAGACAGAGAGAGAGAGAGACAGAGAGACAGAGAGACAGAGAGAGAGAGAGAGAGAGAGAGCTAGAGAGAGAGAGAGGTTAGTGTTTATGTTTTATGAGATTTTGTTTTTCTATTTAACCGTCCCTGTGCCTTTCACACAGAAATTTTATTACGCGGGCATGTCGCGGCCGGGTTTTAAACCATTCCGAATATCTCGTTAGCCAAAGAAGCACGAAATCGGGTGAAATCGGTTAAAATACTCGAGCTGTCAAGACTGAGTCTAAAACTTACACAATACGTCAACGACAGGCATTATTTTCATGAGATCAAATATAAGATGTTTATTTACCGCTTCCAGCTGGGCCGGGTACTATCAATTCTAATTTCCAAGAAGGACGATGTTGTTGTTTTTTATCAGTCAACTGTTACTGACCACAGGCCCCATGTTTTATATTACAGGGTGGACTTGCGGGCCGAGCGGAAATTGCTCGCGGCTGGATCGTGCCTTCAGGCCGCAGTTTGCTCATGACTGGTTTGAATTTTTAACTTACTTATTAATAGCTTTGGATTTATTTTGTATCGTTTTGTTTTGTTTTGTCTTGTGCACTCGGCCTCAATTGCTGCTTAAATGACGCTCATGTGACGTTATGCTGTTGCAAGCGCCGTAAAACCTCTACTAAACCAAACATAACTTACTTATGTAGGCTACCATCATGAGGCATGACTAAGTTCTTTGATTTGCTCATGTGTTTGAACAATCACTGTCGTCACTGATTTGCTTATGTGTTTGAACAATCAATGTCGTCACTGATTTGCTTATGTGTTTGAACAATCAATGTCGTCACTGATTTGTAGATACTATCGAGGCCTGAAAAGAAGCTATCAAAGTTGTTAGATAATCTAGGTGGCAGGTTGTGTCAGCCTTGTCAGTCAGGGCCAACCCGGGCTCAGACGGATACAACGTCCTAGCAGACAGACGGATACAACGTCCTAGCAGACAGACGGATACAACGTCCTAGCAGACAGACGGATACAACGTCCTAGCAGACAGACGGATACAACGTCCTAGCAGACAGACGGATACAACGTCCTAGCAGACAGACGGATACAACGTCCTAGCAGACAGACGGATACAACGTCCTAGCAGACAGACGGATACAACGTCCTAGCAGACAGACGGATACAACGTCCTAGCAGACAGACGGATACAACGTCCTAGCAGACAGACGGATACAACGTCCTAGCAGACAGACGGATACAACGTCCTAGCAGACAGACGGATACAACGTCCTAGCAGACAGACGGATACAACGTCCTAGCAGACAGACGGATACAACGTCCTAGCAGACAGACGGATACAACGTCCTAGCAGACAGACGGATACAACGTCCTAGCAGACAGACGGATACAACGTCCTAGCAGACAGACGGATATACTCCCCACACAGTTATCTGCAAATACCTATATAAATTAGTCAGAGTACGCTAAACACAGGCAAGTGCAAATACCTATATAAATTAGTCAGAGTACGCTAAACACAGGCAAGTGCAAATACCTATATAAATTAGTCAGAGTACGCTAAACACAGGCAACTGCAAATACCTATATAAATTAGTCAGAGTACGCTAAACACAGGCAACTGCAAATACCTATATAAATTAGTCAGAGTACGCTAAACACAGGCAACTGCAAATACCTATATATATAAAATAGTCAGAGTACGCTAAACACAGGCAACTACATATACCTATATATATAAAATAGTCAGAGTACGCTAAACACAGGCAACTACATATACCTATATATATAAAATAGTCAGAGTACGCTAAACACAGGCAACTACATATACATACATACATACATACATATGTATAAAATAGTCAGAGTACACCATGGGTCACACAGTACACCACGGGTCACACAGTACACCATGGGTCACACAGTACACCATGGGTCACACAGTACACCATGGGTCACACAGTACGCCATGGGTCACACAGTACGCCATGGGTCACACAGTACACCATGGGTCACACAGTACACCATGGGTCACACAGTACACCATGGGTCACACAGTACACCATGGGTCACACAGTACACCATGGGTCACACAGTACACCATGGGTCACACAGTACACCATGGGTCACACAGTACACCATGGGTCACACAGTACACCATGGGTCACACAGTACACCATGGGTCACACAGTACACCATGGGTCACACAGTACACCATGGGTCACACAGTACACCATGGGTCACACAGTACACCATGGGTCACACAGTACACCATGGGTCACACAGTACGCCATGGGTCACACAGTACGCCATGGGTCACACAGTACACCATGGGTCACACAGTACACCATGGGTCACACAGTACACCATGGGTCACACAGTACACCATGGGTCACACAGTACACCATGGGTCACACAGTACACCATGGGTCACAGCACGGTGGAGCTGGGCACTCCTCAAGTCTGGGGCACATGGAGACATCGGCATCGCGTGAAAACTTTTTTGTTTGTTGTTTTTGATGAAAAAACAGCTCTCTGTCAGCCTGTCCTTGGTGGTACGCAGAACCTCCCTCCAAAAATCGAAATACATGAAAATAGCACTGAACAGTGTTGATAGTTTTAGATTTGGGGGAGAGGAGAGGAGGTGCTTGGTGCTAAACATACAAATAGCGAGAAATTGGCTGCCAAAGTATGGTGACTTCCAAAGCTCTATGTTCCCTGGAAACTACAAATTTACATGTCACGTGTCTTTGATCAACGTTTATCAGTAAAAACCCCGCATAAATAGTTTAAATAGTCAAAAAAGGTATTAAACTCAAAATAAAACAAAATTCGATCATGTTTCCCATCATTTTGGGAAAAATGTCGATTTCTTCAATTATATTATTATGACGAGTGCGTGGTTTCACTCCCATGTGTTTGTACCGCGCACAGCCGGTCATATTTCATACGTAAGGAATCAGACTTTTATACTCCGAGTTTTCTCAGTGAGAAATTATTAAATAATATCCCAAATGAAATATTTCGACAGATGTGGAGATTTTTGTGTGTCTTTTTGTTCTTTTCTCTCTGGTTTTTTTTTTTTTAATATGCAAAAGTGCGATGGTACTTGAAAAAAAAAATTTGATCTTTGTTCTTTCTTTCTTTCTTTCTTTCTTTTCTTTCTTTCTTTCTTTCTTTCTTCCCTTCTTTCATTCATTCATTCATTCAATTTATTTACTTATTTATTTTTTATTTTTAAAAATCTATTTATCTATTTATTTTAGTCGGAGGCCTTGCATTGCAAAATTTCGAATAACAAAGTCACTGATTTTGTAGTGCAGTCAAACTATTCTCAAATATCACTTTAACTTTAACAAGTGAATCAATGCTTCCCATACTTTGCACAGCAGCTTGCATGAATTTGTATCCACCTAATCTTATTTTTCCACAACACTAGGACCTTTAACGTGCGCAACTTGCACACGGAACATTCGAGTTTTTCGCCCGTACCCGAGAAGACTAGGTATTTGATCATACCTACCATAAGATCAAGTGTGTGGCTGAAAGACAGCAGTAAGAAGGAGCAAAGAAGTAGCATTTGAGACAAGATTTTTAGAACTTTTCTTCATAAATTTATATAAAATACTATAAATCTCCGTCACGCGGAATTGTTCACAGCACTTCCCGCTTCTCACTCACATTAATTTGCATTCGCATAGCTTACGTCACAGCTCACCAATGACACTATCAGTGGCAAAACTTGTTAGATAAAAAAACAGAATTGAACAATCTGTAGGAATAATGCTGCTATCTTTATTTTTTAATGCCCCCAAAGCAGTGGGTCATCAAGAGTTGTCGAATGACCTGAATGCTCATTCCCAATGATAGAAAGAGGTTGCCTGTCACTGAATAGATTATAACCAGCGTCTTTGGTATAGCGGTCGGGCGCCTCACCGTCATACCCAGAAAACCTGAGTTCGATTCCCGCGTAGGAAGAATTCTTATCGAGTATCTCATAGAGCAGTGACTGGAGAAGATGGAAACTAGTGCTGGGCGGCAAGGTTCCCCCGATTATTGAAAGCTAGGAATCGTAGGAATCGACCCCGAACCCAATTACTTACTTTTTAATAATGTGATTTCTTCCGGTGGTTTCCTGGTTGGCTGCGAACATGTTTAAAATTTAGGATAACCTTGATTTCGGAACACTACGTACCAAACATCAACTATTATTTTTCTTTTAAAAATTCTTTTTTAAAAAAAGAAAAGAAGATTTGAATTATTAAAGTAACCGATAACCGTCGGTTTACTTAAAAAGGAGTCGGAACTTTTCTTCCGTAGCATTAATCGTGGGAGTCGGTTCCGGAATCAGTTCTGCGCCCAGCTCTAATGGAAACCTGTTGTGGCAATTGAGGAGTAGGGCACCACATGACGAGCGAGGTCATGGTGATAGATGTATGCTGTATGCTTCCGCGGAAGCCGAGAATGTTTCTGAGTGTTCTCAGAGGGTCTGCTGGGGTAATAATAATATTTGTAAAGCGCATAGAGCATGCTCTTGAGCATGGATAATATGCGCTATATAAATGCAATTATTATTATTATTAGTGATAGATGACAGGCGACCTCGGTGTTTCTGCAAGGACATTGTATTGCTCTCCTCCTCGGCTGGCCCATACGACAATGACAATCTATATTCATCTCGCAGGGAGAAATTTGTCTTGCTCGTTAACAATGGCAGTAGACGTTACAAAGGTAAGGTGCACTCTTACCGTACACACAACAAGACAGGACATTTGTAAATTATACGTCATGTCTCACATGCTGGAACAACCCGCCCCGTAAAACACTCTCTCTCTCTCTCTCTCTCTCTCTCTCTCTCTCTCTCTCTCTCTCTCTCTGTTTCATTTGTAGCACTGTGAGTTCAGTAACCTCACTGCAGTTGGTACGAATGAATTTCTATAATTGTCTGTACTTGCTTTTTGGAATGGTATCGTTTACTGCGGGTCGATTGTTGAAATTCCGATGTCAGTGGGTGGCTATGGTCACTAGGCATAGTTTCCGCAGGGTCGAAGCCTACGATCTAATTTTTATTGTTTTAAAATAACTGTTTCGATGTGTGCGTTTTGCTCCTGCGTCATTGTTATACCAGAGAGAAGGGGACTTCGACACGAACTTTCTATTGGTTGGTTTAGTTTAGTTTTGAAACATGATTAGGTCATAATATAAGTGCCGAAAATTAGAGGTATTAGTAGAGAGTAATAGGCCAAAAAAAAGAAGAAGGAAAGATAAGGAAAGTAGATTTTTTTTTTCAAGAAAGAAGGAGCAAACCACATCAGAGCACCCGCCAACCACCCGCTACGGCTGGTTTGACTTACTTTTATAATTTGGTCGTCAATAGCTGTGGCTGGTTTAGAAGGCTGCAATATCCTTCCCTCTGAGTCGCAACATCTGGAAAGAAAAGCAAGAATCTAGGATGCCGGTGGCGTGATGGATTAAACTACATGTGTATACTTTTATATATACTCTAACGGCCTCCTGTATAAGACAATCACCTGTACAAACGGCCACGTTCTATTTCTCTTTTGCTCTTTTTTTTAAAACATATAAAGACACTGTATAAAACATCCACCTGTCTATGACTACCACTTTTCTTCACGTCATTCTGTCCCAGGGATTTTATGCACCCCGCATAATTTAGCAAAAATTGATCATTTTTTGAAATAATTTCTTATTATTTTCCTTTATCATTCTTTTTTAAAATTAACAGAATCGCATAATTTCATATTTTTGGGTTCATTTTGCATAATTTCATCATTGGATGGCTGTCTTAGGCAATTTGGACAGTGTCCTCTGTGTAAAGGAAGAATGTGTATTATGGTAAACGCGGCCTGCACATGATCTGCAGGAACATCCAGTCTGGGTGGGCTTGAACGTTTGGTATTCATTAATTGTTTCCTCCTTTTTCCGCCAATCTTCGCCAGTCCAGGTCTCATTAACCTACAGTTATCATCACCATCCTCATCATCATCATCATCATCATCATCATCATCATCGTCATCCTCATCATCATCATCATCATCATCATCATCATCATCATCATCATCATCATCATCAATACCAACGAACATCAACGTTTGTTGTGATGTGTCCCGAAGGCGCTTTACCGTCGCACACGAAAGGTTCGACTCATGTCATATAAAGATTATATTTTGATTGTGTGTCTCGGTCTTTCAGCAAGGGACGTTGTATCTCGGGTTGACCTGAACAGACAGATTTGAAGCCGGCCGTCCAAAGTATCCAAAGTCTTAGTTAGTTTTAATAGAGGTTTCACGACGCTCGCAACTGCATAAAGGTCATATGAAAAAGTCTGTCGTTAGGGGGCGCCAAACACCTACATATAAAACCAAAAAGAAGTGAGAGGGTGGCGGGTGCTCTCGTGTGGTTTGCTCCTTCTCTCCTACCAAACATCTGTAACACATCTAATCTTCTCATGCTCATATGACCTTATGCAGTTGCCAGCGCCGTAAAACCTTTACTAAAACTTTAAAACATCTGTTGTCCTTATCTCGTCCTTCTTCTTTTCTTTTTATGTTACCATCCGTCGGTGGCCTAGTGGTTAGGCTCTCGGACTCGCAACCGTAAGGTCGAGGGTTCGAATCCCGCCAGGGGCCCGACGTTGTGTCCTTGGGAAAGGCACTTTGCACAAATTTTCCTCCCTTCACCCAGGTGGAAATGGGTACCTGGCTATAGACAGTGAACGATCTTGTCAGTTTGATAGTGTTTGAGCGCGTGAAATCCGCAGCTTGCACTGTATGCTTCCGCGGAAGCCGAGAATGTTTCTGCGTGTTCTCAGAGGGTCTGCTGGGGTAATAATAGTTGTAAAGCTCATTGAGCATGCTCTTGAGCCTGGATATGCGCTATATAAATGCAATTATTATAATTATTATTATCTCTTATCTTCGGTACTTATGTGACTTAATTGTGTTGAAAGTGCGTAAAGCTCTAACTAAAACTTTAAAGAAAAAAAATTACCACAAGAAACGTACCTCATGATCAAAGATTTGTTGAGAGCACCGATCATGTCTCCCGGCCCAACTGGCCCTGTGCTCAGAGTGGCCACTAAATGGTTCAACACTGTGTTGTTCTCAACGGCATCTGGGAGAGTAAGAGAGAGAGAGAGATATCATGACACGTTTAAACTTCGGAACAGAAGAAAAAGAAGAAGAAGAAGAAGAAGAA